AAATTATAAGTAATTTCAACTATGAATTTTTTGATTTATAAGCAAAAAAAAAAATATATATATATATATATATATAATAATTTTTTTTTATATTTTTGAAAATTAAAAAATTTTGTAAATTGTCGAAAAAAATGAGTAACGCAATCGAAGAATTAGTTGAAGTAAATATCATTTATTGATCGTGTTTTATTTTTTAATTACATTTGATTATTTCTCTTACTCGTCCATATTTCTTTTCCTGATGATGATAATAATAATTATAATAATAGAAACTTATAAGTGAGAATTATATTATGGTGTTTAGTAAAACTTATTGCGGATATTCTAGAAAAGCTAAAAAAATATTGGATGAAAGTGGCAAAAAATATCAAGTTTTAGAATTGGATGAAATTGGTGAATATTTATTATTATTGTTTGTTATTATTATTATTATTTATGATAAAAGAGAATATAATAGTGATAAAATAAATAATAAAAATAGATAATGGAAGTCAAATTCAAAATTATCTTCGAGAAAAAACACATCAATCCACTGTCCCAAATATTTTTATAGGAAACAAGCATATCGGAGGTAATGAATAAAATAAAAATTAATGCTATAAGTGTGAAACAATTATGACTAATTAAATAATACAATTAGGATGTGATGATTTGGTAGCAGTAAAAAATAATGGAACTCTTGAAACATTGTTACTGGCAGCTCCTTCGTAATAAATTATTATTTATAATGGAAAAAAAGAATATGATTCAACTCGTCGCTTTATAATAAATAATATGATTTATTGATCAATTTATTTTTGGTTCGTTTTTTAAATAAATCAATTTTCACGCGCGCAAACATACACGATGTGAAATAATAATTATTACTATTATTATATTTAAATTTAAATATTAATTAATTAATACAAAAAATTTTTTTGTTATTATTATTATTTTACAAAAAATTTTTTTTCTATTTAATAAATAAATTTAAGACATTTTGCTAATGATACTAATGTAAGGAGAATGAAAATTTTTTAATT